ATGAACATCATGCTTTCAAACAAATTGCTAACAGCACTCTCTTGCAGTTTGACGGCACAGTGGTGTCCTCATGTCTGCCACACCGTTGCGGCCCGTGTCGATGATCATGTGAGGCTCAAAGCCTCCGATGCCATTGGACATGGCTTCTCGCAAATGGAGGGCATACATGAGCTCGTTGTGAGAGGGGTTCCACTCGCTGACAAGTCCACATGGGTCATAGCAGCAAGAGTCACCATTGTGCTGACCACCGAGGCAGTAATCATAAGTATCACAAGCCTCCCCCAAGTACTGGTAGCCAGCAACATTTGATGCGAACCCACGGATATCCTTGGCCACGTCCATGCGCTGGATTTGGTTCACAAAGTCCTTCATGTTGTCTTTCCAACCCAGCCAACCACCGTGACCGGCGTCGATGTAGATACCTGCATATGGATCTGCCTTGGCTAATGTCTTCACTGCATAGCTAACGCCATTCTCATAGGCATTCTTGGTGCCTCTATTGCCACACCTTGGGTCAGCCTCATTGGTCACCAGGTTTGGCAAGGAGTCCGGCTCAATAACAAGCACGACTGGAACACGACCAGAGTACTTCTTCAAAACCTTTGCGATCGGGTCGATGTACTCTTTCTGGTACTCTTTCAAGCCATCTTTGCAGCCATCAGCCTCATCTTGGTAGTCACATCTGCCGTCAGGCTTGTATTTGCAGCAAATCTCTCCATTCGAAGCTTTTGCATGGCAATCACGGTTTGGCAAGTCATACACGATGAACACTACCAGCTCTGGGACTGGCTTGTTCAAAGCATCTTCCAAAATGCCCTCCATGGAACTGGTTGTGCTACCGAAGATTTTGTCCTTCTTGTCCAACCAATAGGCGGACGGTACATTCATCATTGCTTCCAGTGTGTCCTTGACTTCACCAGATGCTGTTGCGATGCTTGTGCTCAAGGAGACTTTGTACGAAGGATTCACGTAGAAGACTTTGTCTGCAAACGGGTTGCCTGCCACAAGG